GAGAGAGAGAGAGAGAGAGAGAGAGAGAGAGAGAGAGAGAGAGAGAGAGAGAGAGAGAGAGAGAGAGAGCATGGGGATGGGGATGGGAGGAACTGTGTCCTACACAAAGGATTGAAAGACGGGAACGGAGGAGCCCAAAGGGCATACTAAAGTCCATAGAATATGCAGATGCATGCTTGAATCTCTAATGGCCCATGAGGATATTGTTTCTTTTACGATGGGGCACACTGCACATGCATGCTTGCATTCCTGACTAGTCTGGATTGTGAGCATCCACCACTGAAGGGATGCGTGCTTGTTTTTTTTTTACCTCATTTGCCCCCTTGTTCGTCAGCTTTACATCAGGACCCTTCGCCAACGATGTATTGTATGCTGTGACTGTTGTTCAGGTGGTGGCTGTGCACTCGCAGCTAACCTCGTATTTGGATAGGTTCAAAGACCGACTGGCAGCGGGTAATCGGCGCCACATACAAACTCTCTTGGTCCTGACAAAGGCTTTCATTCAGAGGCTTGGGCTGCCAGCGAATGCAGAAGAATGCTTGGCCCAGTGTTGGAGTGGAGTCCAGGAGATCGGTGATGAGCAGGGCAATGTGGGATCGGGAAAGTCAGCACAGATGATGCCTCTGAACGACTTTTTGTTTTCGCTGGAAATCGACAATCTTAACCTATTCAAGCTGGAGCGCTACCTGAGGGAGAGCAATGTTGTACACAAGGTGAGTGCTCATCTACATCTGCAGCCTTCCTTTTCCTTAAGCGTGGAGCGGGTCTCGCATGACGGGGCCCAGGCAAGACCCGGAGCCACATGGGACAGTGCGCCGTTCTTTTTGTGCGTGACAGTTTTGCGTGCGGTTTATCGTGTTATCAACTTTTTTGTTTTTTCACTTCTTGTTTTTTTTGCATCATTGGCCGGGGCCTTTTTTTGGCGGGGCCGGAATAGGGAGCTTCAGGGCGCAGCTGTTCTTTTGTTTTTTTTTTCCCCGCTGTCTGGGCTATTTTGCGACCTTATCACGACGCGACAGCTGACTTTTCATTTTCACTGATTTCTGATTCCTCAGGTGATGTCCCAACCCAGTGCTTTTGCTGTTGCTGTGTTCGCCATATGGTCGATATAAGCACACAGCAAGGTGGAAAGAAGATACGTTAAGCTCGAATTCCAAAACCACTCAAATAATATTGCATGAAGACCATCACAAAACCCAACGAGCAAGCTCATCCGAGATGCACTACTCCCACGCTTCGACTTCGACAATCCAGTGGATCCCACTCATTCGAGTGTGCGTGACAGATGTCTGGCTTATCGGTGAATGATATTGTATCTGTCCTCCCTCATGCTAAGACTATGTCTTTGCAGATCAGTCTTTCAGTAGTGAAAGAAGATACATTCCTCAAGAAGAAGGGAAAAAAAAAGAAAGACGATATGTGATTGCCAGCAACCAGGCCACGGGCTCAAATGAGGGTGAAGCTCACCATAAAGATTGAAAAGGTCTATTATGAAGTTCTTTTGCTACTTCAAGATTTGACTGTAGTTCCATCTATCAACAGTTGATGGCTGTACTATTTGGCCACTTTCTTGTGTTTTTTTTCCCCTTGTGTGTGTGTGTGTGTGTGTGTGTGTGTGTGTGTGTGAGAGAGAGAGAGAGAGAGAGCCTGCACTCCCCTCGGTGCCCCTCCACCAGCGTTCCCTTACGCCTCCTCTCTCTCTCT